CAACCCGGGTATGTGCCCTGACTAGGAATTGAATTGGGACCTCTCAGCCCATGGGATAATGCTCAATCCACTGAGCCACACTAGCCGGGCTGCCTATTTAATTTATATATGTCTTATGTCTTCTTTCTTCCTCTTCTGCTTCACTACTGCTTCTTTTCTGGGAAATAGATGCTTTCTAGTGTACCGTTTTCATTCTTTTTCTTTAATTCAATTCTTTGGAGTTATTTTCTTAGTGGTTGTCCTGGGGATTATAATTAACATCTTAATTTAAAATAACATGGTTTTGCCCTGGTCAGTGTGGCTCAGTGGTTAGAGTGTTGGCTTGCACACTGAAGAGTTGCAAGTTCAATTCCCAGTCAAGGGCACATACCTGGGTTGCAGGTTTGATCCCCATGTGCAGAAGGCAACCAATTGATGTGTTTCTCACACGTTTCTCTTTTTCTTCCTCTCCTCCCCCCACCCACTCTCTCTAAGAATCAATGGAAAAAATATCCTTGGGTAAGGATTAACAACAACAACAGAAAGATAATATGGTTTTGATTAAAAATAATTTACTTTCAATTGTATACAAGTGCTATGCTCCAATGTAGTCCTGTTTGTTATCATTTACTACTTTACTACTTTATACATTATAAACCCATAAATATAGTTTTATAATTACTGATTTATGCAATTATCTTTTAAATAAGAATAGAGAAAAAGGTTACAAATAAAAATATACTTACATTGTTTTTCATATTTACTTATGTGGTTACCTTCACTGAAATTCTTTATTTCTGGGTGGACTTAATTTGCTGTCTAGTGACCTTTTACTTCAGACTGAAGGAATCTGCTTATTATTTCTTGTAGGTTAGGTGTGATAATGCAAATTCTCTCTATTTTCGTTTATCTGGGCATGATTTGATTTCTTCTTCATTTTTCAAGGGTAGAAAAATGAATTTAAATTTCTTGGTTGACAGTTTTTTCTTTTACCACTTTAAATATATTATTCCAATGTTCTTTGGCTTTTATGGTTTCTGATGAGAATAAATCTTATTGAAGATCCCTTTTCTATGATGAATTATTATTCTCTTACTCCTTGCAAGATTGTCTTTTTCACTTTTTGCTTTTGGCAATGTGACTATAATGTGCTTAGGTGTGGATCTCTTTGACTTTATCCAGCATTGAATTTGTTGAGCTTCTCTTATGTGTCAATTAATGTTTTTCTTTAAATTTGGAAAGGTTTTCAAGGCAAAATGATAGGAAATAAGGGGGGATAGTTTAGGATGGTTGGTTGTCAAAAGCTTTTCTGAGGAGTTTACGTTTGTGCTGATTCTTGAATGACAAGAAAGAGCTATGAGAGTGTGTCATAAAGGGTTAACTCAATAGGCTTAAGTTGTCCAAAACTTGCATGTTCCAAAAAAAGAACTGATTCTAATCAGTTGCAAGGAGATAACCTTTTAATCCTTGAAATATGATGCCTAAACGAGTATCTTTGAATACCTGGAGCCATGAGCCATACCAGATAGTTTATGCCAACAATGTGAATTATGGTGGAGGTTTTGGGCCATGCTAGATATCACTTTGACCTTTGGAGGGGCTGGAGACTGAATAACTAAGGTCAGTCACATGGGCACTCAATACAAACCCTGGACAGCTAGACTCAAGTGAGCTTCCCTGGTTGGCAAAACATCACATACTGTCACACATTATTACTAGGAGAACTAGAGCTGTCTGTACAACTCCATTGGGAGGAAAATACTGAAATTTTGGGTCCTATGTTCCTCTTACTTTTGCTGACTTTAATCTCTATCTTTTTGCTATATTAACTCATAACCACAAGTATAAAAAATAAATTTGGGAAGGTCTTGGTCATTCTTCTTTCATATATTTCTTCTGCTTCTTTCTTTCTCCTCCTCTTTTCTTTCTTTCTTAGATTGAATAATCTTAACTGACACATCTTCAAGTTCGCTGATTTTATTCTTATGCCAGCCTCTCTAGTGAATTTTTCATTTCAGTTATTGTACTTTAGAGTTCCTATTTGGTTCTTTTTTTTAATACTCTCTCTCTCTCTCCATTGATATTTTCCATTTGGTGGTACATAATTCTTGGGCTCTCCTTTAATTCTTTAGACATGGTTTCCTTTAGTTCTTTAAACATATTGAATATAACAAATATAACATTTTCATCTAGTATTTCCATGCGGGCTTCCCCAGAGACTGTTTCTAGTGATTGCTTTCCCTCCTTTTTTTCCCCCTTGAATTTATCTTCAGATAAAGCGAGAGGGAGAGAGAGAAAAGAGAGAGAGAGAAACATTGATGTGAGAGAGACACATTGGCTGGTTGCCACCCACAGGACCCCAACCTGGGCGGGGAAAAATTGCACTGGAGGTACATGCCCTTAGCAGGAACTGAACCTGGGACTCTCTGGTCCACAGGCTGACACTCTAACCACTGAGCAAAACCGGCCAGGTGCTTTCTCTTCTTTTTTATTGCCATACTTTCTTGTATCTTTGTATGTCTCATATTTTTTTGTTAAAAACTGGGAATTTATAGTAATTTAATGTGGCTACTGTGGAAATTAGATTCTGTTCCTACTTTTCAGGATTTGTTGTTGTTGCTGTTTGTTGCTATTGCTGCTCAGTGTTTAGGGCTTTTCCTGGAGTCTATAAAGTGTGTATTCTTTGTCATGTGAGCTACTGAATTAATTCTCTGCTTAGTTAGCTTAATGATCAACATAGATAGAAGTTTCCTTTAATGTCTTATTCTAGTAAGTCTCCCACTCTGTGCCAAGGGACTCTTTATATATGTTGGAGCACAACTCAGTGCTCTGCCACTTCACATCTCTGTTGTTGCCTTCACTGCCTACTTGAGCAGAGACTTAAGTTAAGCCAGAGGTGAGAGACTGAGGCTCTCTCAAGTTTTCCCTGAACACATACACAGCTTTTCACATGCATATGCCCTCTAGCTCCCCAGGCATATGCTGGAGCTTTGCAAAGCCCCTTTAGACATCTCATTACTTAGATTTTTGTTTAAGTTTTTTTTTTTATCCTCACCCGAGGACATTTTTCCATTTTTTGTTCAGACAGAGCAGGAGGGAGAGAGAGAGAGAGAAACATCGATGTGAAAGGGACACATTGAGTGGCTGCCACCCACACGACCCAACCAGGGCTGGGGATAAACTGCAATTGAGGTACATGCCCTTAGCGGGAACCGAACCCGGGTCTCTCTGGACCACAGGCCGATGCTCTAACCACGGAGCAAAACTGGCGCGGGCTTGTTTAAGTTTTTGTGTCAGCTTCTTGTTTGTTCCAACTGGTGTCACCACTTCCGGCAGCTGTGATATTAAACAACTGCTGCTGAGTGTTTTTGGCAAGTACTCTAAAGACAGGGCTTTTCCAATGATCATGCTCTACATCAAATCAAATAAAGAGAGGTCCTGTGTACAAGCTTTTCCATAGAGTTTATAGACGGGTCAAATAGTGACAATTCTCTGAAAATGAGCATTTTGGGAGCTTCAAACCTGTTTGTCTCCTCCAGTGGCTGCTACTCTTCACAGGTACTATTGTTGTAAGGCTGATTTTAAAAACTTAAAAAAAAAATTTATTGATTGATTTTAGAGAGAGAGGAAGTGGGGGGAGAGAGAGACACACACAGGCAGAGAGGGAGAGGGAGAGAGAGAGAGAGAAACATTGATTTGTTGTTCCACTTATTAATGCATTCATTGGTTGATTCTTATACATGCTCTGACTGGGTATTGAGCCCTCAACCTTGGTGTATTGGGACAAAGCTCTAACCAACTGATCTACCCGGTCAGAAGGCTGATGGTTTTTTAAGGGTACCATGGGCCTGAGGAGATGCACAATGTTAAAATGTTACAAACATTGCTGTTCTTAGCAAGTTTTATAATTTTTTCTTGAATAAAGAGATTGTTGCAAGTTTTTCATTAATTTCCATAGTTGCAAAAAGGTCAAATTTTCCTAATGTTCTTGCTGCTTTTATAAAGGAGCAGAGTAATATACTTTTTCCTAAAAAAAAAAAAAAGTAACTATATATTCCTCATCTCCTCCCAGAATAGATGGCAGGAGCTTATAGTAAAAGGTAATAAAATGTTTTACAAGGACAGAAATGAGAACTGAGTGATGAAATGCGTATTTGCGGGTCTGTGTGTGTGTGTGTGTGTGTGTGTGTGTGTGTGTGTGATTACACACAAAATCTAGAGTAAAGGAAGCCATGGCATTCAGACAGGAAATAGCCTTCAGCTTCTGGAAGTCAAAGCACACAGAGAACAGTGGCCAACAGTGAGGCTCAAAGAAGATAACGACAAAACATCTGCTGGCACGACCATCTGGAGGTCAGTGGTAACTTTGGCCAAGATGATGTCAGTGGAGTGACAGTGAGAAGAGACCGGAGGCGCTGGGCTGAGTGGAAGGCCAGGTGGAAGAGCCAGGGTGAGGTTGGGTGTGTGGATGCCTGTGAGGAAACTTCTCTATGTTGGGGGATGGATATGTGCAGAGCAAGTGTGGTTTGGGTGAAATGAAGATGGCAGGAGGGAAGGTGGTGGCACATATGGGCGAGTCTGCAGGTTGTATGGAAGGAAGGTGGAGTCTCCTCCTGGTGCCTCTGCCAAGGGAAGAACAGGCCAAGTCTGGGGAGGGATGGGGACACAGGAGAACCAGGGACTGTGGGCTGGTGAAATCACTCTCAGTTCCCACAAAGAGATGAGGCTGTTTCAGAATGAGAGACTAGAGAGTGAAGTTTCTGAGGTTGATGACGAGATTTGGAGATTGCCAAGGACATGGATAAGATAATCACTGGAACTGTGATGTCAAGAAGCCAAGAAAAGGCAGTATTGGGCACTGTGGCTTCCAGGGGCAGTGGCTGGAAATGGCAGGGAGATGAAAATCTGGCCCAGGACCAAGTGTCCTGAGTAATGAGGTGTTACAGGAGCTGGTGCATCCAGCTGGGTCCCGGGTCAAGGGCAGACTTCTAGGCCTAGGTTTAGGAAAACCTGGGACTCACCAGGATCGCCTCTTCGTCCAGGCTTGCCACGCCGTCCAGGGGGCCCTGGGCAAGAAAACAAGAATAAATTTGTTGAGAAGGGAAGCCAGTGGTTTGGGGCATAGCCCACCTGCTGCTAGCCCACCAACCCACTCTGCAGCTGCATCCTGGCGCCAGCCTGCCCACCACCCTGCTGGCTGAGGGAGAGGAGAGGTGTGGGGAGAAACCCAGCTCCTGCTCCTCCCTCTTCTGCTCCTCCAGGCCTTCCCCTGTGGGTTGTGTTCTCACCTTTCACTCACTCATTCAGTCATTTAATGATCTGATCATTTATCTATTCACAATCCCTCCATAATAAAAAAGGTTTACTATCTGGAAAATCTTGAGGCAGAAGACTTTGCAACTGAGAAACTTCTCACTGATGAGACATATAAGGCTGAGGGTGGGAGTTATCTTATGAAATCCTAGGCCAATGCTGTTTAATTTCCCCTGCAATAAAACAACAGAGACACCACACCATATAAAGACACCATCATGGTATTTCAAACACTTAAACTCAGTAATAATGGGCAATATCCTATCCATCCATTGTCCTTCCCTTGCTTGCTAGAACCCTCAGCACCTCCCAGCCACCCCCCACCCTAGCTCAGGCAAATGCTTATACATTTATCAGGATATATTAGATAACACAAATCCTTTTTAGTATCCAGCTCTCCATCTACATTTGTTTGAGCCTTTCTGAATTGATGGTGGAAACCATCCTGCCTTTGCCTTGTCTCCCTCTGCCCACGAAGGTCCTGGGAGAGGGTCTGGATAAGGAAATGCTGACCAGCCTACTGCCTTAGTCAGAAGACTAAGTCCAGTGCATGGCTTGCCTTGCCCTGGGAGTGGAGAGGTTCTTCTGGAGCTTGCTGCAAACATCCCTGAAGCTCTTTGATCTTGCATTTTCACTTTTGCCTGCCTCCAATTTCACTCACCTCTTAGTCAAACTTCTTCCTTTCTTTTCTCAGGTGCCAGAGGAAAGTGTGCAGAAGAGAAGATGCATGTACTAGATTGCAAATGAAATGGCACTTTATACCTGTCTCTCTCTATCCTGCCCATCCACTGCATGCCAAAGCTGGGGTAGGCCCTGACAAGGTAGTTGGACAGATTGGCTGTATTACAAGGCACTGACCTTTCCTGTAAAGGTCACTCCTCCTTCCAGATTCCTAGAACAACCACCAAAAAGAAACAGACTGGCCATGAATCAGATTCGAGGCAGAACGGTTGTGTGAGTGTGTGTGTGTTTCCCTCTTTTCCTCCTCCCATTTTTTAAAAAAATTGATTTTTATGGAGAGAGGAAGGGAAAGGAAGAGAGAGAAACATTGATTGGCTGCCTCCTGCATGCCCCTGACTGGGTATCGAGCCTACAATCGGGCATGTGCCCTAAGAATTGAATCGGTGACTTCTTGGTGCACGGGACGATGCTCAATCCACTGAGCAATACAGGCCGGGCTCCTCTGGTGTTTTTAAGCAGTGCTCATTGTGTGTCCTTGATCCAGAGATTGGGACAGGACACAAAAGCAAAAGCAGCTCAGGTCAGTGGGTTAGTGTCACTTCTCCACTTTTGTTAAGGGGGAATCCTGGATGGAGAGGAGGGAAGGTCTCTGAGAAAAAGACAGAGAGACCTTTGCAGGCCAGGGTGAGGTGAGAATGAATTTCTGGTCAGCACTGGGGGCTTGAGATTAGGATGGTTAAATAAAATGAAAACATTAAAGACATGTTATTTCTTGTACCCCTGTGTTTGTGATTCTAAAGTAATTTATTGCGCTCAAGAACACATAACATAAAATTTACAATCTTTATTTTATTTTTTTCCATTTTTTGTTCAGGTAGAGTGGGAGGGAGAGACAGGAACAGAGAAAGAGAGAGAAACATCGATGTGAAAGGAACACATCGAGTGGCTGCCACCTGCACGACCGACCAGGGCCGGGGACAAACTGCAACCGAGGTACGCGCCCATAGCGGGAACCGAACCCGGGTCTCTCAGGACCGCAGGCCGACGCTCTAACCGCTGAACCAAACTGGCCAGGGCAAAAATTTACAATCTTTAACCATTTTTAAGAAAGAGTACAGGATGTCAGTGTTAACATATGTCTGTTGTTGTGTAACAGGTCTCTAGAACTTTTTCATCTTGCAAAACTGGAAACTCTTTACTCATGAATAATTCCCCTCCTCCAGCCCTCCAGAAACCACGGTCCTACTTTCTGTTCTAAGACTTTCCTATTTTAGATATCTCATATAAGTGAAATCTTGTAGTATTTGTCCTTTTGTGACTGGCTTATTTCACTTAATACAATGTACTTAAAGTTCCTCCATGTTGCTGAAGTGACTATTTCTTTCTCTCTTTCTTTTAAACCCTCATCCTAGGATATTTTTTCCATTGATTTTTACTTTTTTTTTTTTTTTTTATCCTCACCTGAGAACATTTTTGCATGTATCTTCAGACAAAGCGGGAGGGAGAAGGAGGAAGTGAGAGAGAGAAACATCGATGTGAGAGATAAACATCGATATGAAAGAAACCCATCGAGTGGTTGCCACCCACATGACCCCAACAGGGGCCGGGGACAAACTGCATTTGAAGTATGTGCCCTTAGTGGGAACCAAACCCGGGACTCTTCAGTCTGTGGGCTGACGCTCTAACTGACCAGGGCTCCGTTGATTTTTAGAAAAAAGGAGGGAGGGAAGGAGGGAGAGAGAGAAAAACATCGATGTGAGAGAGACACCTCAACTGATTATCTCCCATACGCGCCCTGTTCAGGGCAGGGGATCAAACCTGCAACTCAGGTATGTGCCCTTGACCAGGAATCAAGCCTGGGACCCTTTGGTCCTCAGGCCAATGCTCTAACCACTGAGTCATGCTAGCCAGGCCAATTTCCTTCTTTTTTAAAATTTAATTAATTTTTGTTACAGATGTTTCTCTCTTTTTTTCATTTTATTTTTGTTCCAGATGTTTCTCCTTTTTTAATCCGTTGACACCTTCCTCCCCATCCCCCCCTGCCCCGTGCCTAGCTTTGTCGTCCATGTCCATTGGTTATGCGTACATGCATATAAGTTCTGTGGTTTATCTCTTTCCTCCCCCGACCACCGCCTCTTTTGAGGGTTGTTAGTCTGTACCCTACTTCCATGTTTCTGGGTCTACCATATTCCTCAGACTGTTATGTTCATTATATTTCATAAATAAATGAGATCATGTGGTATTTGTCTTTTTCTGCTTGGCTTGTTTCACTTAGGATAATACTCTCCAGGTCCCTCCATGTCATCTCAAGGGATAAGAGATCTTTCGTTCTTATAGCTGTATAATACTCCATTGTGTATATGTACCACAGCTTGTTTATCCATTCGTCTACTGATGGACACTTGGGCTGTTTCCAGATCTTAGTTGTTGTAAATAGTGCTGCTATGAAGATGGGGGTGCATATATTCTTTCTGATTGGTGTTTCAGGCTTCTTAGGGTATATTCCTAGAAGTGGGGTAACTGGGTCAAATGGAAGTTCAATTTTTAATTTTTTTAGGTAACACCATATTGCTTCCCATAGTGGCTGCACCAGTCTGCATTCCCACCAGCAGTGTACTAGAGTCCCCTTTTCTCCACACCCTCGCCAACACTTGTTGTTTGATGATTTGTTGATGGCGGCCATTCTGACAGGTGTGAGGTGATACCTCATTGTTGTTTTAATTTGCATCTCTCTGATGATTAGTGATGTTGAGCATTTCTTCATATGTCTCTTGGCCATTTGTATGTCCTGTTTGGATAGGTGTCTGTTCAGTTCCTCTGCCCATTTTTTAATTGAGTTCTTTGTATTCCTTTTGTTGAGTTGTATGAGTACTCTATATATTTTGGAAATTAACCCCTTATCTGATGTATCATTGGCAATGATGTTCTCCCATACAGTGGGTTGCCTTTCCATTTTGATGGTTGTTTCTTTTGCTGTGCAGAAGCTTTTAGTTTAATGTAGTCCCATGTGTTCATTTTTTCCTTTGTTTCTGTTGCCTTAGGTGATGTATCAGTGAAAATTCTGCTGCGTATTATGTCCGAAATTTTGTTGCCTACGTTTTCTTCTTGAATTTTTATGGATTCACAGGTCACATTTAAGTCTTTTATCCATTTTGAGTTTATTTTTCTGTATGGTGTAAGTTGATGGTTTAGTTTCATTTTTTTTTGTTTCATGTAGCTGTCCAATTTTCTCAACACCATTTACCAAAGAGGCTGTCTTTACTCCACTGTATGCTCTTTCCACCTTTGTCAAATATTAATTGAGCATATTGCCTTGGGTCCATTTCTGGGTACTCTGTTATGTTCCACTGGTCTATATGCCTATTCTTGTGCCAGTACCAGGTTGTTTTGATTACAGTCGCTTTGTAGTATAACCTGATATCTGGTATTGTGATTCTACCTGCTTTGTTCTTCTTTTTCAAGATTGCTGTGACTATTCAGGGTCTTTTTTGGTTCCACATGAACTTTCGAAATATTTGTTCTAGTTCTGTGAAATATGTTATTGGTATTTTGATGGGGATTGCATTGATTCTATAGATTGCTTTGGGTAATATGAACATTTTAATGATGTTAATTCTTCCAATCCATGAACAAGATATGTGTTTTTACTTTTTTATATCTTCCTCTATTTCTTTTTTCAATGACCTGTAGTTTTCTGCAAATAGGTCCTTTACTTCTTTGGTTAAATTTATTCCTAGATATCTTAACTTTTTTGCCGCAATGGTAAATGGGGTTGTTTTTTCAGTCTCTCTTTCTGTGAGTTCATCATTGGTGTATAAGAATGCCATCGATTTCTTGATGTTAATTCTGTATCCTGCTACTTTGCCAAAGTTATTTATTAAGTCTAGTAGGTTTTTGATGGAGTCTTTAGGGTTTTCTATGTATAATATCATGTCATCTGCAAATAATGACAGTTTCACTTTCTACTTTCCAATTTGGATCCTTTTTATTTTTTCTTCATGTCTGATTGCTGTGGCTAAGACTTCCAGTACTATGTTAAATAAGAGTGGCGACAGTGGGCATTCCTGTCTTG